ATGACTATAACACCACCAATGCTATTTATACACTGTGCATACCCTCTCTCGGGCAGAGAAAACATAAACGCAAAACAACGAGCAGGTATTTGCCACTTAAAATAGCAAATGTACAAGGAACAGCCAGGGAAGGCAAAGGGTGGCTGCCACCTCCTGCCGTAGCACATGGCAGCCCTACTCCCGGCTCAGGGCCTCGCCACCCTCAAGGCAGCAGGGGCAGATGGACAAGATGGGGTGCTCGATGCCTCCTGCCAGGGCAGGCCCCAGCTTTCCTGAGGGGAGGAAAGAGGAGACGTGTTCCTCTGCGAGGCCGCCATCATGAGGCCTCTGGGCGCCCTCCAGTTCAGGCAGGATTGATAATTTAAGGGTGCTCAGCTTTGCAGTAAGGGAGCAGGTTGGGAAACCTGTCGTAGAGATGCCATCTGCATTTAAATTCAGTAAGTCAGGCACAAAGGTTGACAGGGGCAAGTGGTGAAGAGGGGCTGCAGGTTTTGATTTTTGAAAATTACTTTTAAACTGAGTCATTCCCCTGTGATGATTCTTTGAAGTCACATTATGTATTAAAATAGGGTCGTAAGGCAGAAAAACATACAGCGAACCGTCCTCTGTAGGAACCCAGCACTGCTAAGAGCAGGGTGGAGGCAGCGGTATCTGCAGCCTCTCAAGAATGTCTTCTGCTCTTTTAATAGTTCTCCTTGGTGGGGGGGTGGAGGTTTGTATCACGTATCTTTCTCCTGTTGCCGAATCAAAAATAGTACACTGAGTCATTTGTTACAGGCAGTTAGAACACGTGTCCCACCTCCTGCTCTGGTCCAGCTTACCCAAGGCCTCCTTCACACAAGGTCTTCTCACCTCAAACAGCAGCTCTGCTTGAGGAAGGTGTGCAGCACTGATTAAATCCTTCTTTCTGCTGCAGCACACGCTTTCAGGCGGTTGGCAGATTATGTCCTTTGATCCAAAAATCCACTGAAATGGGTGGGAATTTTTCTAATGCCTTCCAGGGCAGTTGAGGTTTGAGGTAGCCACCTTGGAATGGGGCAGCTGGCCCTGGATGAATGCAAGGCCACACAGGAACATGCACTGCAAAGAACATTGATCCTGCCCATTTTTAGTGGCAATACCAGTATGACTTTGAGCATGAGGGGGGAGAAAGGTGTAGTAACCAGGGAGCCTAAAATGCAGTGATTTTGAACTTACCTCTCTTTTCCCTCAATCCAAACCCGAAGAGCTAAATCACTTTCCCTTCCACAGGGACCTGCAAAATGAACAACTGGGAATAATCTATGGTAGTTTATGAATACCCAGTTCCTAGGAATATATATTTCCACTCTTTGTACAAGGAATTGTTGTGAAAATTGCAAGCTTGGCAATTTGTGTTTCTACTATCTATTTTATTTCGCAAAGCACTCTTATGCTTCATCCCAAATCAAAACAATTTGTGCTAGCAGACCTACATTAATTACCTTTAGGCGTAACTGATGTAGAAGAAGAGAGGAAGTGGAAGGAAAACATGAAGAAACAAATTCAGTTTTCAAAGAACTATTAATTATTCATTAGATTGATATTATTCACTATTAATAAATAACTAATCACAAGAATCAGTTGCCACAAAGTCCTCCTAACACTGCTTCCAGCAGGGCTCTGTTGTGACTTGTACCTTGCTCAACACGCAGCAATATTTACCTACTGGGTTGAGCAATGCTGTGGTCATGCCCAACCTGCAGTCTTGCCTTACAGGGCAGACTGAATTTTGACATTGACCCCATTGCTCATCTAGGCTAGCATCTGAGCCCTGGCCTGTTAAAGACTTTGATACCAGCCTCTCATATCTGCTTTTTAGGTCTCTGATCGCTCATCTCAGCATTGTCACTCCTTTGCTGGTGTGAAGGGCTTCAAAAGAAAATAGTTCATTACTTCTTGACATTGTCTTCCCATTGTGTCACCTGTGGGTTTTAAAGGTATTTATTTTGTGTCCCTGACCTTCTTTTGCCCTCCTATGCAGCCTCTTGAGTTCATTGCTGTTTTTTATGTATTTTATAGGGACATGGTCCTACTGAAGTACACTGCTATAATACTGTCCTGTGCCTTGGGGGATAAAGAGACAAAGTCAGACCTTGCTATACTCTAATTTGGTATACATATGTCACCTGATTTCGTTAGGAAATGCAACATAAAACTGATAGGACCAATGGTTATGTTCTCTCCAATAGCCACTGCAAGTATTTTAAAATGATGGCATAGAAAATAAGTGTTCTGCAGTCTCTGTTTCTAATAAGCTCTGTGATCCTCTGTCCATCCAGACAAACTCCAACTCAAATGCACTAAACAGTGTGAACTATGAGTATAAACTGATAATGGTCTCTGGACTCTGAAGCACATGAAAGGCAATTCCCATGGACACAGCTGGTTCCACCACACGCTAACCTCAGCAAAGGGTTGCTACAAAACCTATAGTTTCCCGCTTCTTGTGTCCACATCCTCTCCTCGATCAGGGCTAGCCCCGAGCATGTAGCCCCCAGCTTCCCTCACGCTGGTTTCTGTGCAGAGGACATGTGGAGAGGTAGCGGTGGCGGGAGCCACAGCACACTCACCCCAACTGCTTGGCAGGACCCCAACTGCGATACCGCCTACCAAAAAGCAGACACAGGCTGAGAGAGAAAGTTCAAAAGCCCACTCACTTTGGACTTCAACTATGGAAAACGCAGTGTTTGCTCATTGCTAAGAATGAGGACTTTTCTACATCAAATGATAGCACTGACACCTTCTTCAGAACCTTCCTACGGAGAGCGGGGGCGGTCAGCGTAAGTACAACTCTAAGAACAACTTCAGATATTTGTGTTCCCAAACACTTCGTAAATGACAAAATGAAAGGATCCTCACAAAGAAGTAATATCCTTAGTACAAAATAAATACACTTATTCTTCCTTGCTCTGCCCCTGAAATGCTTCTGAATATTTTAAATGGTGAAAGAACAGAAGAATTTAAAATTACAAGTGTCCTGAGATTCAAAATCACCAACATTGTGATTGAAATAATTCAATATGGTGATTTTAACAGTACAAATCCTGCCTTCCTCATAATATCATGATGCCTATTAGGCAGATTCTTGTAAAAGAAGTGACATGAAAGGAGGTCGTGAAAGCAGCCCAGCCAATGCAAGCTGTTTCCTCCCATCTTTCCCCTCCCATCTCACACTGAACAAAGAGAATTTTCTACCTCTCTGTAGCACAGATTTCCCTGAGGGAAAAAGAGGCTCGCATCCGTTCCTGAAAATAGTTGCATGGCAGTGCTGCTGAAATTACTTCACATTTAGGTCAAATCCTGACAAGAGCTTTAAAATGCTACCAGAGCTGAAGAGGTTTGATGTGAGAATCTTATGGTGTATCTTACACATTGAAATAAGGCACTAAGGAGTCTAAGGAGAAGTCAACAATTTCAAGTCACAAATATTATCTAACTATAATATTTTATCTATGACTCCTGTAAGAGTAGAGCAGTAGTATTGTGACAGTTGAAAAGAACAATGAACAAGGAACAAAGGTGTCTAGGAGATGCAAATAGCTGTACCGTAAGCGCCCCTCTGATGGGCAACGGAACAGAGGCAGTAAAGGGGAAAGCTGGAAAATAGTGACAATTAGACTCAGTCTTACAGAAGAAATTTAATAATCAAAGGCATTTAATCATTCCCTATTTTAAAAAATAGGATCTTTTATGACTACAAATGTAAAACATGCCTTTCCAGATTTTCTTTGCTGACTACCTGTTAATGCTAGTTTGACTGTCTTTTCATTGTGAAACACACACCACATTTTTAGAGCTGTTCACAGAATAGTATTGGTGTATTGGGAATTTGGAAACTGAACAGGCATTTATTCTCTTAACTGTCAGTCTGATAATGCTGATACAGGTCTTCATAAAACAGAAATACATAACTGCTATTTTGTAATTTTAAAACAACCTTTGATTTTACCCAAATATTTTTTTCCTTTTATTATAGATGCCTGAAAATATTCCATAGTCAATACGGAAGTTTTGTCACAATTTTGAGTGAGTTTGTCATATTGTTACACTGAAAAGGCATCAAAAATTTGTCATATTATTGCCAGCACAAACCATTTCAGTTGTCTGTTGTGAACGGTGTAACACACAAGAACTCGATACTAGAAGCTCTTTGAATAATTAAGTTTGAAAGTAATTTGGTGCCTCTCTGCACAGCTTGTGTAACCAGGTGTTGGATCAGTTCTATAATGCTTATTTAGGCTTTATTTGGACAATATTATCTTTTTTTACCTGAGCAGCAGTTTGCCCTGTTAATAGCACACTGTAGTTAATACGGCTGCTATCTCCTAATAACCCTGCATAGAAATAAAATTGCTGCTTTTACTGATATCCCCAGACAGAGGATTTGCAGGTGTGTGCTAAGGGCAATTGTTCCTATTGTCACCGTGGAACTGAGAGGGGTGAACATGGCTCCTTCGTGTTTGCCGGTAAATGCCAGATCTTGAATTCAGCTAAAAACCAAGGCAGGTATCGGCTGGGTAGGGAGGTCAGGATGTAAATGGAAAGGGAATCATTTCCTCAGGAGGAGTATGTTTTGTGACACAGCATCCCAGAACTGACCACGCTGTCTTACACATCCCTCCTTTCCCTAAGCACAAACCCCTCTGCTTCTTTTACAAACGGGAAAGGAGTGAAAGGTTTTGCCTACTGCATGCAGATATAATTTCAGCATTTAGCATTGCCCTTTAATTTGTCTAAATCTATTTATATTCCCTGATTATCTAACAGAATTCACTCTGACCCAAGGGAGAGATTAATTTTTTTACTGGGTATCCTATTGCCATGTGGCTCTGTGGGTGGGGGGAATGTTGCTTCTCTTCACTTGGACAATTATAATACACAATTTTTCCTATTTATAATTAATTTCAGTTGTATACTGTCTGCTACTCTTTTTAAAGGCAAAGCATTGCTTACTGTCAGAAATGTACAGTCCAAAAAGGTATTCCTGTATGTTTTATTTCGGAAGTGTAAAAGGTTTCAAAATAAACAGAAGTAAATGTTCAAATACATTTCATATTGCATGGGGTAGGAGTGGCTCCATACAATACAATATGGATGAAGCAAACCTGGCAGTTAATTTCATTGAGACATAGAGTATAATACATAGACACTTCCAGATCTGGTCTTGTCTCACACATAATATTGCCTGACCTTTTTGTTATAATTTAAATCCAGCCTACTTTATTAATTATTGATATTTTGCTATATTGATTGTTCAAGTTAGAAAAAAAACAGTTAAAAACTACTGACTTTAGGACACTGCAAGACCCTCAGTACTGCAATCTCTGAAGATAAATATACATTTATTTTTTGAGAAAATATGTCATTACCTGCAGATTAAACAATGCAAAATGATCGTGCAATTAAACAGGACAGTCGGAATTGAAATTTAAAGCTGCAGACCATGATTTTCCTACTCCCAGTGCTGCCTGAAATCTCTCACACCTTTAAAAAAATATAATTGGTTTTAGATTTATCCCACAATAAATAACACCAGAACATACCTTGTGCTACCAACCTGAATTTAAAAAAAGTAAGAGGCCACCTCAGTGTTTTGAGTTTATGAGATGTTTCAGACACAATGCCCTAACAGAGTTTCCCAGTCTAAAGGCATCAGGAAGGCTCATCGCTTATGGTAAACTTGGGCTTTAGCTTGACAGACCTCTTCCTTATTGTGCCTTTAGGGGACAATGGCATGCTGTCCATAATGCTCTTGTCCTCCTCCAGCTGCCTAGCAGTGCATGAAGGGGTGGGCACTTTCACCGTGTTGCCAAATTTAGAGTAGTCCACAGAGTATCTCCCATCTTCCTCTGCCACGATGGGCACAAACCTTTGGCCCCAGAGGATTTCATCCGCCAGGTAGGAGGTTCTGGCTTGAGTGGTGATGCCGGTGGTCTCCACTACCCCTTCCAAGATGACAATGATCTCCAGGTCCTCATGGTGGTGAAGGTTTAGGGGGGAGATGTCGTAGAGGGGGCTGTTCTTGTCTATCACGTGGTAGATGATGAGCGGGGAGACAAGGAAGATGCTGTTGCCCCCCACTGGGTTCTCCATCTGGATGTCAATCTGGTTGAGGGGCACCACCTCCCCCTCCAGGCTGGCAGTCTTCTTCACCACCTGCATGCGGATGGTGGCGCTGATGATCATGCTCTTCCGGAGGTCACCCACCCGCAGCATGAAGCAGAGCTTGCCCTCTCGCAGGGCTATGACCGCGTGCTTGCTGAAGATGAGGGTCTCGGCCCGGCGGTGGGCCTGCGAGGTCTTCATGAAGATGCAGCCCAGCATGATGGCATTGATCACCAGCCCCACGATGTTCTGCACAATCAGCACCAGGATGGCGGCTGGGCACTCCTCTGTCACCATGCGTCCCCCAAAGCCAATTGTCACCTGCACCTCGATGGAGAAGAGGAAGGCAGAGGTGAAGGAGTGGATGCTGGTCACGCAGGGCACAAAGCCAGCTGGGGCCCCCACTGCCCCATCTCCGGGGTCACGCTGCAGCCGGGTGCTGTGGTCCAGGTCTCCATGGGCGAAGGCGATGAGCCACCAGACCATGCCGAAGAGTAGCCAGCTGCAGAGGAAGGACATGGTGAAGATGAGCAGTGTGTGGGGCCACTTGAGGTCCACCAGGGTGGTGAAAACGTCCTGGAGGAAGCGTCCCTGCTCCCGGATGTTTTTATGGGCCACGTTGCAGGCACCGTTCTTGCCCACAAAACGC